TCGCCCCCCCGGCTCCGCTCCTTCACGTCCTCCGGCTGAACTCGGGATCTCCTTTCTCCCCCTATCGACGACGCTGCAAGTGGTGAGAGTTGACAGGAGCGTTGCCTTATCCTGCAGGGATACAAGCCCGAAGCGGTGGGCGGGAGCGTCACCGCTCCCGCCAGGTGACGTCGACCGCTCGGCCCCCCCGTCCTGGAAACGCACCCCCGACCCCTCAATCTCCCTGGCACCCGCGTCTCTCGTCCCAAGTCCAGCTCTCGATTAGCCCTGGCAGAGTGGGGCGGCAATGACGACGCCCGCCCCCCACTATGGTCCTTAGCGGCTGCCCTCGTGCGCTCAGAAACCCTCATGTCCCCGCGCCCCACGTCCAGTTCACAGATGGTCCTCGTAGTGAGCGGCGGCATGTTGGTCGATGGCGCGGCACTGGGCGGCGCGGTGACCGTTGGCGATGGTGTGGCTGCGGTAGACCGCGCCGCCGGCGATGGTGGTGTGGAAGTTGCCGGCGGCGCCTGTGAGGATATGGCAGCGGGTGAAGTGGATTGTCGGGCGAACGGTGAGGGGGGCATAAGAGGTGGTGAAATGTACTCAATTAACGTTGCGGCGGCGACATCCGAATCCCCCCCCTCGCCCGCCGGCGCCGGCGTCTCCAGCGGTGGGGTCAGCAACGGCGCGCGGTCCGAGACCCACACGACGTTGTTCGTCATACACACGCGCCCCGTCGTCAACTCGAGGACCTTGACCACCGACTCGTGATGTTTGTCGCCGTTGTTGAGGTAGCAGCACAGCACTGCTTGGGGATCCATCTTCCGCGCGCGCATCACACGCATGTACCCCGGCTGTAACAACGGGACGATCTGGAGCGGGGGCGGGCGGCCGGTGAAGAGCTCGTGCGGCGACTTGTACCCGACGTTTGCCTTGGTCGGAGAACGGTTGAAGCTGCCGGCAGCCCAGTGACACGACTCTAGCCAAAGTCGCTCGCCATCGCGTCCGAAGCCGGGGACTCGGGTGAAGTCGATCTTGGGGAACAGGCGGCGTGCCTCGAGACGAGCGGCGTGGCCGGCCTGCTCACGCGCCAGATCGCACTCTCCGCGGGACCATTCTGCTGCGGGGTGCCCGGCGCCGTGTACNCGCCATCTTCCCCTTCGCCTGCAGACATCCACCACAAGGCTGCAGGACACCGGTCAGTCGGAGACCGTGCTGCTTCGCAAGCTCACGCAAAAGAAACTCATTGGCGTGGGAGGACGAAACATGGAGAAGGTTAACGTCAATAATCTTGGTGGGTTTCCCCACCGAAAAAGGGCGCTTGCCCGGGGCCATAACGGGAACGGCGAAAGCAACATCATCGAAGACATTGGCAAATCCAGACTCAAACATCAAGTCTAAAAACTCGTAGGGGTCATCCGATTCTTGTCTCTGTTCTAAGAGGTACAAAGCCCACTCGTAATCTCCCTGCTCTGTGAACGGAATAAACCCACGGTCATCATCCTCACTATTCTCTTGAAAAACGGTGACGTCCGGCGATGGCAACCCGGGAACAGCTACCAACTCCANGCTCACGCGCCAGATCGCACTCTCCGCGGGACCATTCTGCTGCGGGGTGCCCNGCCAGCGAGGTCGCCATCGGCCCACACAGATCGATATGCCAAAGATCGTGCGGCCGCTCCGCGCGCGTGCCC